CACAGACGACCCCGTAACAATATGCGTTTTGTACTGCTGTTACACAGCACAAAACGCATAAAAAGAGCGCAAGAGTGAGATAAGACGTTTCGATCCACATTAATTCATATATCCTTTACTCATCCCCGCGACAGGATGTCGTCAGCGCTTTATGGAAAACACTTATTTTCATTATCCAGAAATTCGCATCCACTGATAAAATCAGTTAGCAGCACTGCTGAACAAACACTGGAAAGGCTATCATCGAGATGCAACGGTCCGTGTTTGCTAGTCCGCTTAAATACTCGTACGTCCGCCATATCTATCGATGAACTATTGCCAAAAGGACCGCGCACGTCCTGAACTCTAAGACTCCGATTTCGTTTTGAAAACTCACTCTCTAAAATTGCCTATTTAGAATTCAGTGAATTGATACTTAACTTTTCTGTGCACATCAGCTCAACTCCATTCTTTGGACTCCCAATTCTCACGCACCAGCGTGCTCTTTGCTGACCAATTGCATACCCTTGCGCGGACATTGAAATTATACAAGCAACAAGCTTTCCCATACAAGCAACGAGCTTTTCTGGAATATCTGCATTGGGCGCTCTACCATATTATACAAGGCATATTACCTGTAGTCTGATGTTTTGGTGTGACTACTCGCTGAAACATGAGAAATAGATTTAAACGGCACGATTCCTTCGCCAATTTCCCTACTTCTTCCCAAAAGACAAAGCTTTTGAGGGCAAATATGCTTCAGCGCTCAAGTTCCGAATAAACGATGCCATGTTCTTTTGTTTACCAGACTTTTATAGCATTTTCTCGGATATTCAGATCAAGCAACGAACTTGAGGCCTCACGTTTAGTATCATCAGACGCGAAATTCCGCCCCATTTTTGGAGTCTTCATATTTCGATAAAACTAATATGAGACCAGAAAGGATGTTTTTCTCGATATGTAGTGAAAGGACAGGTCAGTATGCAGTCTGTATTTTATCTCTTGAATCCCGCATCTAGGATTATTATGCGGATAAAACAAAGAACTTGATATGTTACTTTATTTGATCATACAATGCAAAATGAGTAGTAGTAGCCTGAAATCAACTGCAGGTTTCCAACATTTTCGCTTGTGGCTTATAACGAAAATCCGGCCACACAGCTTCGAGATGTAAGTTGCACACTACGAGTCTTGCAGCTCAAATTTACCGCCTCAAAAACTTGAAGCTAAGAAACTGGTTCCTGGAAGACTGCGTTTTTAACTCTTACTCGAGTTTTTTCTTTTACGTAGATTCGGAACTCTTTTCATCTAAATTAGCCAAGTGCTTTACAGTATCAGCCCGGGTCCATATTCATGGCACACCTTCGGTCGTAATTTTATCTGTTTGCTCATCTTTTTCAAAAAATGTCACCCGAGAAAAGGTACTGTAATTTTTTCACTAATTTCCTAAAAATAATGTAATATTCAGATTTCGTGAGTCCAAAAAAAGAGAAAAACAAAAGAATACGTCCTATCTCAGTTATTTTCCAGAGAAATAATACCACACAAACAGATAAAAGAACTTTGATATTGGTTGAAATACACAAACAGATTAATGCGATATAAAGTAACATGATGAAAAAACAGGAAGAAAATCGCCGGTTGAAAATTTTAAAAAATGTGAGCGAAAACTCATTAAGACAGGAAAGGCTTCTTTGACCGTTATCCAAGGAAAAAAAAGCAAAAAAAAAACAGAAATATGTTTTAAAACACACATATGCTTTATTTGAGGGCAACATTATAAACAAATTTACAGAATTCCTTTTTAAGCATGAGACAAGACGCACCGAAACACACACACACGGGACTGGATGGACAAAGATCACAAAAACCAACATTCAGCTATGGAGTGGACCCATACGGTGGGTACGGTTGGAAGTTCATATTTCCGGCCTCTGCGGGAAAGAGTACTGCATGAAACAAGTTAATATGAGGAATAGCTGACAGACGGTCAAGGAGATGAAGTCGATGGTCAACGCAATGACCGCATTACTACTGGCAGTAAAGAAAATTAATAAGAGGGAAACTTAGAAAGGATCACCCTCCAGAAGGCAAATCCCCTTCCCCCTCCATCCCTTATGGCATAATTATAGAGCGAACAAAAAACTCATCTGAGTGGGTTATTTTGCAAAAATGAATTTGAAGCAACGGTACATCAAACAAGCACCAAAAATTCAGTAGCATTCAAACCGGAAAAAGTAACAATCCCTGGTTTCTGCTAAAACCGGTACAACTGATCTCGGGCTTGCGATTTTTTAAACAGACACGAATGCACACTTGGCAATAATGATGAGGGATGAGGAGGGAAAAGCTTGAATGCTGTGCTAGTCCATAAAAAAATCCGATTCGGAGGGAGGATGAAAATATGAAGGTGAAGTGCTATAAACCGAAATAAAATTTGTCCAAATTTCCTAACTTTCACAAACAGCAAACTCCAGATTTGGGCCCAAAATGTTGTAGAAATTTTAGAGGTACAAACAATGAATAGGAGATTTTTGTAACTTTTCCATAATCCTCAAATTCAAGATTTTCACATAATGGCCGATTTCAAGGGGTCGTTTTCATGAACGAAAAGCTTGTTCTTTTTCGCGCTCTGTTCTTCCCAAAGTACCACCATACACATTTTATCATTCCTAATAATGTCACGTTTCGTTAATGGAAAAATTCATCGTTGAACGGATCATTGTTGGCGGTTGTTGAAACAATCAATGGTGCAGGTGTTCGGGCCGGAATAAATGGGGCACGTGGAGGGGGAAGAACCGTGCTGCCGCCGATCACCGTTGTCGCCGTGCTGCTGGACACTGTCATCGCTGTTGCTGCACTATTAATTGATGCTTTCTTCGAGGGATTTATTAATTCACTGAACGGATTTTTCTTCATTTCCGGAGCCGACACCAATGCATCCATATCAACCAGCTTATTGAATGCTTCTTCCAATGTTGACACATTCTTCTTCTCGGTCCACAGTGAGGATGTCCTAAAAAATGACTCTGGAACAAGCGATCATCACACGGATCAAAAATTAAAAGAAGCATAAAAATTACTGGCTGCACCCGGAATGTTGGACCTCGATGCTTAGTGAATTTGAACTGCATAAGTGTAGAAGCTCAAAAGAAGTTATTAACTGCACCTGGAATGTTGGATTTCGATGCTTTTTGAATCTGAACTCGCTACTACCATATTAGATGAGTGTATCAGTATAGGCCCAGCGAGCAAGCAATCGCCGATCTGTTTCGATTTTAAACCGACACTATCACACCCCTTACTTCTAAGCAATTTTGTCAAAAGAGGGATCTACCGACAATAGCACGAGTGCCTTTGCCTCTAACAGACAGCGGATGTGAGGGTTTTTTGATTTTTCACGATACCGAAAAATCAAATAATCCCTGGTTTGTTTCTCAGAAGCTTCCGGAAGAGACAGCACCGGTAGCCCAGCGAACAAATGGTTACTGTAAGCAAGGTGTTTTCATCAATCCACTTCTGACTGCTTCAATACTTGGGAAAAAAAATGAAATACTGGGCAGGCTCCAACTTAAATTAACGCATAACAGTATATCAACACTCAAATCATTTAATTATCTAAAGAGAGAGTTCTTTTCTAAAAATCCGCACAGGAAAACCGTGATATGCAAACAAGCCCCGAGGGAGAAGCCCGAGTCAGGAGACGGAACATTTGCATATCACATGGAATCGAAGAGCAACTGGGCACAGCAAAGGAGTTTAGTCACCAGCTTCGTTTCCTTGCTGCAAACACCTTCTGTGCAACAATCTATACAAAAAGGTATTAGTGATTTGCTTTCTTAAGGCGACCCAGGAACCCAACGATCGCTCTCTCCACGGCACAATATTAAGCGCATCACCAATTGCCATCAAAAGTGACAAACGGATTTTTCTTGCCATAAGCAAAATTGAAGTAATAATTCAAGCTTGAAATCAGGCGTCAGAACATAATATTACATCTACCATTACCTCACATACTCCTTGATACATTTAATAATTATCCAGAAAAAAAGCCGAAATTTTTACTGACTACACGAAATCGAAATAAACCTTGGATCAGCGCCCAATGATGGCACAGTATTTTCGTTGGCTGGCCATGATGGAACAGCTGTAGAGAAATGGTATGATGCGGAATCCTTCAGAACTCGTTGTGCTCGCCCTGTATCGAATGGATCTGGCTCCATCCTTGCAACTGTCGCTTCCTGTACTGTTGAAACAAATGGATTCGTCACCTGAAAATGACCATCTGCTCACTCACTCACTCTTATATTTGTCAAGGGAAAAAACAGTTTTCTACTGAAAGGTCCTGAGATTTCGGAAAGTTAGAATTAAGGGGAGTGGAAAGACGTAAAACTGGTGCAGCCAGGATGTTTTCGAAGAAACAAAGACTCGCCAACAGGGCCACAAATTCAAGGTCATTGTTTTACGCATTACCTGATTATTTGGTAATGATAATCTCGTAATATCGCGCATTAGTGAGTGGTACTCGCAAGAAAACAAGTGATTCACGTATCTAAGTCTGTCGCCGAAGATCCATATGTTGCCTATGTACGCCTAATTTTATTTGCAGTGCTCCCTCTTAAAGTAAATACATTCTAATCGAAGAAAAAAGAAACCGAGAAAGCGATTGGACCAGTGCTGGTTGTGCTCGCTGGCGCAAAAGCATCAGGCTGTTGTGGCCAGACTGTTGCTGCTGCTGCTAGTGAAGGAGTTGTTGTTGAAAAGGAAGCATTTTGCTGCTGCTGCTGCTGCTGCTGCTGATGTTGATGAACGTTGAAAGCATTTACTGGTGCTGTAATCGCTGGTGCTGGAGGAACCATCGCTGTTGCCGGTGCTGCCACAGTGGATCGTGGATTGAAGCTGTCATCAAATGGATCTGGTAGCAGCGCTGGATTTTTTAGCGCAAACGATGAGACAGGTGGTGGCGGGAATGGTGCAACAGCAGTACCACTTGACACGGAATGTAGCGCAGCAGCTGTTGGCTGTACACCGGCGAAGATGTCATTGCTGGGCCACGAATCTTCGGCAAATGCAGGAATATTTTGGAGCTGGTTGTAACCCTGTTCGATGTTGTGAAGCTCCGATTCGAGATCCAGCAAATCGGCTACCGCAACACCATTATCAATACGCACACCATTTGTGGTTGTAGTCTCCTGCAAAACGAAAAGCGGGAAATACAGTTACCATTACTATTACTATATTGGACCGATCCAGGACGGCTTCTTCGAGAGAGAGGGGGGGGGGGCAGTGGAACTGCGGAAGAAAGTCTTCAGTTTTAGCTTTAAACCCTGACTTTTGTAGCACCGGTGCCTGTGCCACTAGGGGGTGGAGGGGAAGGAAGATGAAAGACCCACCGCCCCCTGGATCCGTCTATGATCACTACCGAAACAAAAAATTTCTGGCCACTCTCAGCTCGAAAGTATTACAAGTTATTTTATAGAAAACCCTTTCGGGTGTGATACAAAACCCCACAATTAATGACGTGTTCTTAGACGCTGCGTATGACACCGATAGCAGCAGTAAGTACTAAATGGAGGTATGTGGCTCAATGTCGAAAGGCCGCTCAGGGCCAAGGTCTGGCAAAATTGCAACCGGCGTGCGGGCGCATCCCAGTAACATAAAAGAGTCAAAAAATTAAGAAAATTTTTGAAAAAAATTGTACAAGTTTCTGTTGTTCTTCCTGTTTTTGCTTCACTTCGGCCAAATGCGCTTTCTTCATTTCAAATACTATTTGGAACATATCCCGAATCGACAACACCGCTCGATCTGCCGTTTGCGCCGTTTTAATTCCTGAAAGTGCTGGGGGATTGTTGAAGAAGTGAAAGCCGGAATAAACAAAATAATGAACAAATTCTCGGCTTCCTTAGCCCGCAAAACTTTCGGTCCTCGGTTTTTGCGGTCCCTAAATTCCGGCAAAATCTCAGCGCACTGGAAGAAATTCAGACCAACCCTCACACCTAACCAGGGAGATTTGCGAAGTCAACTGTAACCAGCGGCCAATATGCTTTCCCAAGATGACTTCCTCAAACATTCCTGTTTTGCCAGACTATTTTTTTTTTTCGCTATTAACAAATCTGAAGAGCTGGCGATGAAAAAAGAAATTCCTAGACAAAATAACATGACGAGCTCAGTGCATTATTGATTCTAGCTTATCAATAATATCAAAACTGCCCCGACATTCGGCCTGCAGATTTCATGTTGATGATGATGTTACTAGGATGCTCCCATACACTGAGCGTGGTTACGACAGGTCA